TTTTTTTTTTTTTTAAAGTTGGCTTTCTTCCATTCATCTGGCACCTGGCCAGAGCACCACAAGTGCTCGTAAAGCCATGCCAGGGGCCCCTCAATAACCCCTGCCAATTCCCTCAACACTCTGGGGTGGAGATTATCTGGACCTGCTGATATGAACGTTTCCAGCCCCTCCAGAAGTGCTCTAACCCGGTCCTCCCTGACCTTAGGCCTGGTGGAGTTTCTCCCGAGTCTATGTGGAATCTTGGTCAGGGAGTCCAGGTCCCTGCACAAGAAAATGGAGGTGAAGAATTTGTTAAAGAGGTCTGCTTTCTCCTCTGGTGCAACCACCAGATTGCCAAGCATATCCTCCAGGGGGACCCCACATTACCCAGTGCCGCCTTCATTCTCCCTATGAGAGAATGAAGAAGGCACTGAGTAATGTGAGTAAGGAGTGTTTATAGACCATGTGGCTTTTAACCTGCACGTGAGAATAGAATAATTGGAGTGGAGAAAGTTTACTACTGATGGTGTGTGCCATGCTCCATCAATTTGGAGGTTCTGGGGTGTCCCACAGCTCATTAGATTCAGGACCCTGCACTCCAGACTGTTAGGATTACTGGTATGATTCTGACAAGCCTTTGTTCTTTGCTATGGATCCCAAAAGTGACTGAAAACTTCAGGTGGTGTCACTAGTATTTGCTGAAACTCGCATAACTATTTGAATCTAAATCCATCTCCATGTGCAGATACTGCTGCCATCTGTGGGTTTCTTGTGTGGTCATATTGCTCTCCTAGCTTCACTTGGAACACGCATCAAATTAACAGACCTTGCAGGGAAAGCGTGGGGGGAGGTGGTGTGGTTGCTAATGTTTTTCTAGTTTCTGTCCTCATCAGTGTACTCTTAATATTTACTTAATGCTTACGTCTTCTGAGTACTGAGCAATCTTGAGCTCATCAAACATGTTTGTGTTCACATTTACTGATCTAAAATGGAATATATTTTGCAGAAAAATATTGTGCACAGAGACTTGAAACTAGGGAACATGGTGCTAAACAAAAGGTAAGTGACTTTCTTGAGCCTGTATTTAGGGTCCTTGTGTAAAGATTCAATCAAATTTCCTTTCCCTTAGACAGACGCTTTTGGCATCACACAAGTGACAATCACTAAATTCACCCAGGAGTAGCTGTTCCCAGGAGGGAGTGGCAAATGCAGTTGAGCAGGGTCCCTTGTCAAAATCCTGTTCTTATGGGTCTCCAGAAATAAACTAAGCCCAGGTGATCCAATGTGCCCAGGTACTTCTGCTGCCCACACACAGCTGTTGGAGTGCACTCTTGCAGCCAGACTTCTGGGCTATGTGCAGTGCTGCTATAGCACAGCTAATGGCAAACAGCAGTGTCAGCTTACTGTTTGTCACAAGTTGAGATCTGAGAGAAAGAGAACCCCATGGAAGTGTGTTTGTCCCACACCCAACTCAAGCATTCCTGCAGGTACCTGCATAGCTGCTGTGCCTTGGGACTCCCTAGTCACCATCACAGAGCCAGCTGCAGGGCACTGAGTGTAAACCCTCCCATTGCCCCTCCCCCTGCTCCTACAGGGTCCTGGGGTGGAATCGCCTGATTCTTGCTCTCTGGACCTGGACTCTGGCTGCAGCCCTCTGACATGATTTGCTTCAGCAGATCTAAGCCCCTCCAGTGCCTGCTGCTCTGTTTCTGTAGGGGCAGTGGCTTGGGTGTTCAGCCTTCTTGAGGGAAGTAGGAGAAGAAATGTGTTTAAGATAATATTAAAACAACAAACCACTCTGTGCACATGCCTGTCTCCTAAGATGTAGTTCCCTGGGGTGCAGGGAAGACCCTGGTGGTTTCACATTTCTGCCACTCTCCCGGGACCTGTGTGTCTGTTCTCACTACAAACAGCTCTCCCTCACGCCACCCGAAGAGAGGCTTTTTAAACTGGTATGTGTCCTTTGATCTTCTAGCTACCAGCACTGGCAGAGCCCTGGTCTAGGAATATGTCCTTGCCCTATAATGCTCCCCCACCCCATGTTTACTAGGAAGTTCTTTATCTGAAGTTATGGTGTTTCCTTGCCTTTCCCCACAGCCCCTATTAAGCTAGAACTATCATTGGTCATGCAGGATATCTTGTAACCCAGCGCACAACAGTTTCACCCACTGACCAGGTTGTATGCAGTGCCAATAGTATAGCACCTTGCTTATACAGCTGCTGATCCATTGCAGTCGCACCCCATGACAGTGCCTCAGAGCAGAGTTTATAGAGGGGAAGCAATGGTATTTGAAACCAAGTGGTGACCAAATTTCATTTCCTAATTGTAGATGGAGTTGAGCCAGAAACTTCTTACTGTCCATTACCTTGGCCAGGGGTGTTACCAATGGCACAGTTACTGTAGATGACCTTTCTGTTTCTGGTGTTAATGCCTCACATTCACATACCTTGAGCATACTGCCACTCAGGCTAAGGGATCAGATTCTGAAGCTTCCCCAAGAAATTCAGCAGAAGTTTCATCCTCTGTGCTAGGTGAGGAAGGATTATTTTCTTACTTTCTCAAATGCAGGATAGCTCTTGTGGATGGCCTGTCACTGTGCTGTAGAGGAGATCAGAGTAGATTATCATAATGGTTCTTGCTGGCCTCAAAGTTACAAGTCTGTAAAAGACTTCTAGCAAAGGCAGCAGAGCAAACAACTTCCCTTCTGCTGGTTGGCGAGTGGCAGGAGGGTATACTGGAGAATGGTTCTTCTTAGTAGGACCTTGGGGAGAATGGAATAGAAGTAAGCTCTAGTTGTGAGTGGCATTGTCCTAGGGGGTTTCTGATTTATTGTTTTAATAAAAAAAAAAAAAGTGAGCATAAGAGCTGGGACATGCTCAGAGCACCTTTGTGTTTGCAAGGGTTTGGATATCTGCATGCTAAACTGCAACACTCATGGAAGAATCCCTGTTCTGTGATTCAGACCAGCGTAACTGTAAGCTCTGCTCATCCTCACAGGTGAATATAGATTTCCTTTACAGTAGGGCATAAGATGCTCGGCGCTGCTTTAACACAATATCCACCTACAGCACAGAGTACCTCCGGACCTGGCTCTTAGTTTTCATAAACACCCAGCTTCATTAACAAAGCATGCTCTGTTTAACAGTTGGGCAGGTTTTTGGTAGTCACTGAGACCTGAAAACTCACCTCTGCCTCTTGCTGCACCTGAAGACTACCTTATCATTTGAATGTATAAGGCAGACTTGTGCTCTTTAACAAACAGTTCTAGGAATGACATGCGCTGCACCTGCACACTTCAGCTGTTGTGCGCTCTTGGCGTTTAGGTCAGTGTGGATATCATGATGACTGTCCTTGCCTGGATGTGATTCACAATTAAAATGTGGTCAGTACAGTGACGTGTCTCTATGTGTAGGGAGCAAGATCCACTAAATAACCTGTAGGCTGCTCCGTCCTTATTGTAGTCATGCTTCTTGCCATTGTCACTCTGGTCAGCCAGACTGAGGTCCTTCCAAGTGATCCTTCCAGAAACCATTGTTCCGGTACTTCAAGAACCCACCTCCAGATAGCTGGCTTCAAGCTCCCCTCCCTGTGACCTAGACATCGGTTGCTGTTCCCCATTTTATCTTGCTGCACAGAGGCAAGGCCTGTTTTTGTTCCATTCTTTCTCTGAAGCTGTCAACTTCAGGCTGCTGCTTCTTGCCTGATTATCTTGGAGTTGCTTAAACTCCTGGGACCTGACCCTGCACTTGGCCCCATCTAGGCTGCCAGTCAGGGGTTGGAAGGTAGAAAAGACCTTGCAGTTAACACTTCTGATAACCAGCTGCAACCAGGCTTCCAGTTTCTCTTCTATGAACAGAAGAGCTGGATCCCTTCTTGCGGTGTGCATTGGACACAGGGCAGACTCTCTGGTCCTCGTATTGTTAGCGAAATGACAATGGGGAACCACCCTGCCAGAGCATCAGGGCACACAGCCCCACCGTCCCCAGGAGAAAGTTCCTAGAAAAGGAAAAAACACATGGCATCAGCCAAAAGGTCATAGCTGAACCATGACTCATACAAAGCAAACGGTGCTGACGCAAATCTCAGTTTACCACCCCCCCCACCCCCATTCCCTTTGAATGGGAACGATTGCCTTGATGGGATGCAGCTGTCATTTCTCTCCAGTCAGACTGGAGAAGCTGGTCACCAGTGATACAGCAGTGGATAGAAAATGGAAAAATGTTCTGCGGGAAATGGAGGCTTTCTGATTTATCCTGGAGGACAGTCAGGCCTGCTGCCTGCCCTCAGCCTATTTGTTGTCTGAAGCAGAGTAAACTTAGCTGGTTAGCTGGAGCTTTTAAACTGAGTCAATCTAACAGGAGCTGAATACCTGAGCATGTGTGCAGTGAGCTTCTGCCTGTGCTCACATACACTTTACAGTGACTGTGTAAGACTTGCAGTGAGTGAACCTCTGGGTGCCTCGCTGTGTTCCTCTCACATGGCCTTCCAGCTGTGGGTGTCAGATGATTCCCTGCCTTTCCTTAGGACTTCCTGAATGTTTGGCCATCCGGGCCGCCTTCTCCACCTCTTGAAATACAATAGTAGCAATTTTTCCAGCTTTAGACTCCCAATTGCTCTTGGGTTTTGGTTTAGAAATAACAACAGTTGCATCTCAGCTTGTACACAGTCTAACCTCACATCCTGGAGTTTTTCATGTGCCAGTACTCCAGAACACTTGGTATCTTGGGGCCTGTGCAGTCAACATAGGACACTGTCCTGTGGATTATCAGAGTAAAGTGCTTTAACAAGTAGTTCCAGGAATGACATGCGCTGCACCTGCACACTTTGGCTGTTTTGCACTCTTGGCCTTTTGGTCCGCCTGGGTTTCATAATAACTGTCCTTACCTGGAGGTGACTCACTCTATGATGATTTGGAGCTGTCTGGTTTTCTTGCATTGTAATAGTGTCTAATGCCCTTTTATTTTCAAGACACCCAATGAGATATTTTCCAAGCATTTTTAGCTTTGTTTCCTGTTTGTACAGCTGATTTCATTGATGTGAAATGCTGACTTAACAGTTCCATAAACTCACTTTGTAATGAACTTCCAAACCAGAGGATAATATTATTGAGTATGGACAAGTTGGACTCCTGCTTCCATCCAAAAATAAGTAATCATGGTTATTTTTTAGTGGGCTATTAACATACATCTTTAGTGATTGCTAGAGATGGTGTGTTGCCATCTTGACATACAGTGGGACACTTTACACATGAGACTATCTTTCAGGCTTCTCTGCCATTTTCAAGTCTCTCATCTCGGAGGTTGTGGCTTTAGAATGAAAGCATCAACGTTCCTTTGAGACTGGTGGTTGGACCCCTTTACCCCATTTTGTGTATACACTGGGATGTGGACAGGAACCATGTGACTCCATGGCTTTACTGACGCTGTCTGTGGAACCTAGAAGAGCAAAGTCCAGTGTTTTACAACTGAGCTGTGTCGAGCACCACTGCTCACGTACTTAAATTCCCTTCATGCTAAATGAACTCCCAGTGCTGCAATCTGTACTGTAATTACTAAGAAAATCAAATCACTGACAGTCAATACTGTGTAACAGCTTGTAGTAAAATATTTACTAATCTAAATATAGCCTTTCTATCTGGTTCTCTTCATCAGTGCTGAAAATATTTTCCTTGTTCCCATTAGTTGAATTGATACAAGTTCTAACACATTGACTTATTCATGATGGAAATTAGTTCACTATAAGTTACTTTACAGACAAGCTGGCAAGCACAGTTCCTTCCCTGAATAATTAACTAGTTATAAGCCATGGGGAAAGGTTACAACCTAACAGCACGTGGTAGCAGTGGGATGTGCATGCGTTTTGTCGTCACTTGAGACCTCACTGGCTTGGGCAGGTCTTTCCTGAATAGTCAGACAGCCAAGTTGGTTGCTCAGCTCCATCTCAGGAAGGCAGTCTATTGTATCCACTAGAATCGGCTTTGAGAGGTCTCTGAACTCTCCTATGAGTGGTCTTGGCAAGTGAGTGAAATTGGGTGACACGTTATCCTGCTTGCTTTTCTGTGGCATAAATGTCCTTTCAAAGGCTGTGGATATGCTGGTCTCAAATGCGGCTCCTTGTTTGTGCTGAAGCTGCAGCAGTGTTTACCTGCAGCATCCTGGATTGTTGTCAGTGTCCTAGAGGAATTTATCTTGTTTGCTTAGGTTTTTGCCAGTCTGTTAAGGGGCTGAAGGGTGTGAGAGATGGAGAGAAGCTGTGGGAATGTAAAGTCTTAACTCGACTCCAGTGATCCTATAACACTGGCTCCCAGGAGAAAGCATCTGCTTGGGAGTACCTGTCCACAGTGACCCCAGTGCCTCCTGGAAGGCAAAAAGAGGCTTTTGCTCTCAGGAGTGGGTTCTCTGTTTCTGCTGCAACCATTGATGGCTTTCAGAGATTCCCAAGTTGGCTTGCAGTGTTTAATGCTCACATCTGGCAAAGAAGAAACATTTGTTGAACTCTGGCTTAGGATCAGGGTCTCTTCCCACTAGGCAGGAAGTGGACAGAAGGAGTTGCAGTATTTGCCTCCTGCTCCAGGCAAAAGATGGAATGGAGCATCAGACTGTTAGTCATGGCTGTGCAAGGGCCGGCCCCTCAATAGCCCACAGGGAAAGGCATTTGGCAGCACACCAGCCTTCAGATGCACAACACTGCTTGGGCCAACACATGGCTAGTTTGTGCTCTGCTAAAACAGTGAGTTTTAAAAGCAACAAAACAGTCAGCTGTGGTGAGAGAGAAGTTTGCTGTATCCTCTAAAGCTGTGAATCACTGGAAAGGATGGGAGGTATTTCTGAATAGACTCATGGGGAGGACCAGTGGCTTGGGGCTGATCAGATGTGCTCTTCCTGTGCCTGACATGCTGGTGCAAAAACTCTGTTCCTCTGCTGACTGGAGGAATGCAATGGGCTTCCTGCTCCCCCACCCCCACCCCCCAAGCATTTAAACTGCATGTGTCACGTTCCTGGCAGAATGAAAACAGGGAAGGTACCACCCCCCGAAACACATGCATGCTCTAAAACTGTGTCTAGCTCAGTCCTCAAAAGAAGTGCAGCAACTGGGTTCTGTGATTTACAGATTAGATCATTTTTAAGTGACTAAATAAAACGAGGCATCCCTGAGCACTTCTGCATGGGTCTGAACACCGCATTGCTTAGATGTTTCTCTTCTTTCCCAGCATGTCTCTTGATGCTCTGCTCTTCACATCCCTTAACAGCAGAGGCTTGTGGGAGCTCCTCAAATACATCTTACTTTCTTTAAAAATCATCATGGCTTTTCCAACCAACACTTGGTTTTGTTTGACTCATCTCAGTTTAAAAACACTTTCCAAGGCAGAAGATGATATAATCTTCCTGGCAGTGGCTTTGGGCTCTGTCCTCTAAGTTGTATGTTAAGATTTTTATATTCAGTTGATTATTGCAAGCTTAACATAGAGGTGATTAGTTTCCCGTGTGAAAGCAATCAGAGCAGGCAGTCCTGTAGGAAATAGTGGTATTTTCATGTGAAAAAAGCACATATCCACAGTTCCCAATTCCCTTTACCACGAAATACATAAATGCAGGGCTTCTTTCTGGGTAATTGATTCAACTTTGTCCGTACCTCACATATCCACAGAGTCTGGCAGCAAATCTGTGCCATGAAAGAGTGTTGCAGCAGAGTGCTGGTAAACAGAAAGGACTGGGGAGTGGGGAGCATGTTGAGAGAAGCAGAGAAATTACTTCTCAGACGAGAGCGCTGCGACTTCCTCAGGGTCGTAAGGCTTTGGAGACTTTAAATGCCAGCACAGGGTCCCCCTACCTTGAAAACGATGAACCGCAAGTCACATTAGCACTTTGGGATTTCATCTCCCCTGGCAGGCAGGGTTACAGCTGCTGCTGCTCAGCAGCACAGTGTTCCTGGAGAGCAGCACAAAGCTGGCTCCAGGCCTGCCTCCCTGCTCACTAATGCATCGTAATCCTCCACAGGACTCACCGGATAACCATAACTAACTTCTGTCTTGGAAAGCACCTCGTGAGTGAAGACGACCTGCTGAAAGATCAGCGAGGGAGCCCAGCTTACATCAGCCCAGACGTGCTCAGTGGTAGGCAGCCCCTTCTCTCCTGGTGGGAGCTCATAGCCCCGTCCCACCTTTAGCGGTCTGTAATATTTGTTGCATGTTCTCACTACTAGGCAGCACTCCCTTCTGGTGAGAGGCCTTTGAAGTCCCCTTGCGCCCTGATGTACGATTGAGTCTGTTTTTTCCAGCAGGGAGGGAATTGGGCAAGGAGAGATCACTTCTAGCATTTGTCTCCAGTCAAAAGCTAATTTGGAATAAGGCAGGGAGATAAAGCAGCATTTGGGGCTGTTCTTCAATAACTCCCTTGGTCATCTCTTGTGCTCTCCCTCTCTCAGTTCTTTTCCACTGGAGGTCTCCGTGGCTTAACAGGCTACATACCTACCCGGGGGCCAAAGTGGCCACAGGCTCAGACCCTGCACCAAATTCAGGACTGGAGTCTGGGCAGCCCTTGCCCCATGCTGACTTGCAGACGTGGTCACAAGCAAGGTGTTCATTGAGTTTCTGGGAGACTGATTCTAGTATAGAGAAGATGCCCTCTGTCTGCCTTCTGCCTTGCTAATGTGCCTGTGTGAGGGGGAGCTAAAAAAGGAAGCCACAATGAATCAGTGTTGTAGGTCTCACTGGAAGGAGCTATCTTCTAGATGGCATGAAGCTTGGGCTTGCAGAACATGACTTCCAGAGGAGTAGGGGGGAGGAAGTGGTGGAGGTGCTACGCTGAGCTGTGCGCAGCAGAGCATGAGTGCAAATGCAGCAGGCTGTAGCAAGGACTGTCCCGTGAGTCACAGGAAGTCTTTCTCTTCATCCCAGGTTTTGGTGCAGTGAAAGGTGTAAAGTGCCAATCCCACGGTGGGTCCTGTAGTGGGCCAGTGCTGCAGCATGAGGCTTTCCAGCATGCCTGGGCACAGGGGAGGGGTCCCTGAGCACTGGGCCATGCATGTCGCATCAGACTCCAGCAGTCGTGTGTTTCTGATCGCATCTGAAGGCTGAGTCACAGCATCTTGACAGGGTTGTATCAGAGCCAGATGCAGGAAGCCTGGAGCTTGCCTTCTCACGTGGAGGCTATGGGGAGGAGGGGGCGTGAGCTGACTGCCTGCAGATTGCTGCTCAAATGGTGGAATTTTTTTTGTCAGGGCTTCCTCCCCTGTCCCCCATGCCTCTCACTTCAAATCCTAACAGAGCCAGGATGGCAGGGCCCTCAGAAGGTCACATCTAGCCCAGCCCCCTGCTCAAGGCAGGATCCTCGCTGCCCAAACCATGCCAGCCTTAGGCTCATGCTCCTCAGTCTGATTCACGATTACAAGCTACCATGTTCCTCCCTGCTTTGGTCTTGTGTAGTAGGAAGCCTTTTCAATGTCTGACATCCACAAGTGCTTTGGCTTATGCTCCTATAAGCACCACTGAAATGCAACTGCTTCAGGGGGTAGACACTGACCAGTGAGCACTTAGGGACAGAGGGGAAACCTCTCGGGCATCTGCAGCATTGGATTTAAGGGAGACAGGACCTGAGAGAGAAACCACCGGGCTCAGTCTTGCCAGGCACTAAATCATTGGTTCCCAAATCAGGGCCGTGGAGGGTCCTCAGTAAGGTCGCAAAGGGTCTGCGCACACATGCACACTCACGTTCATGTGCATGGCCCAGGGTCGGGGCCACTGTGCACAAAGGGGGCAATGGCGGCTCCCCTGTCCCCAGGCCGCTGCTGCACTCCCAGCAGCCCCTGCAGTCCTGGGTCGGGAGGTCCTGTCGGTGGCCAATTTAGGATTGCAGCAAAAAAGGTTGGAAACCAGTACACTACATACCTGTGTCCAGAAGAATGAGGGCTGAGGGAGTGCCCCCAGGATGGGAAGCTGCAGGGCTGGGGCACAGACACAGGCCAGGCTCTGAGCTCCATGGAAGGCACCTGGTGTCTGGTCACAGGAGCCTGCACATCACTCGTCTCGAGACCCTGTTGTAAATAGTTTTTTCCACCACAGGGAAGCAGGCTGACTTCCTGAACCCCCAGCCCTGAACTGCACTTCCACACAGAGTATACCCCTTTGTCAAGGACCTTTGTGAAGGCAGCTCTCTGATGCAGGATGTGGGCTGTTACCCATGCTGCTTTAATGCCAGACTGGCTCTAATGCTAGTTCTGATGCTCATGCTTGCTGTTGGAGGCTGGTCTACATGTGATGCTGTGTTCCTTCTCTTGAGTGCTGCCAAGGGCAAAGGCCCCATGTGACGGCTGTCCCCTTCCTCTGCAGGTCGGCCATACCGCGGGAAACCCAGTGACATGTGGGCCTTGGGTGTGGTGCTGTTCACCATGCTGTATGGCCAGTTCCCCTTCTATGACAGCATACCTCAAGAGCTCTTCCGCAAGATCAAGGCCGCCGAGTACACCATCCCTGAGTGAGTCCCCCACCCCTGCCCTTGCCCTCGGGTCCAGCTCCTCAATGTCAGGTGGGTGGGAGGGCCTCAGCCCAATGCAGAGCCAGAGGCCAGCAGGCACCGCTCTCCAAGGCGCGGGAGTGGAGCTGAGGCGCCTCATCCAGCATGAGCACGGCCCTGACCCATCTGCCTCCATTCCCCTGCCACAGCACAGGAATAGGGAACACATTGGTGGGTGGAGCGATGCCTGCTGCTCAGCTCTGACCGGTCAGAGCAGTCGCATGCCCCCAGCGTCCCACCCACCCCTGTCCCTGCTTGGCCCCGCAGCACCCTTGCTATACATCCATGTTTGCCTTGGCTACGTACCCCTGGTGCCCTTCCTCCCAGCCTCATGGTGGTTTTTCCTGACAGAGATGGGCGGGTTTCCGAAAACACGGTGTGCTTGATCCGGAAGCTGCTGGTCCTAGACCCACAGCAGCGCCTGACTGCCTCTGAGGTGCTGGAATCGCTCAGCTCCATCATTGCGTCCTGGTATGTGCTCCTAAGTCACCAGAGGGGCTCTGCATCCCTGTGTGGTCAGCGACATCTCCCACATGAAACAGGAACACGTTGCCACAGAGATGGCAGCTCCCCAGGTCCAGCTCAGCGAAACCAGGCATGAAACATGGAGGGGGAGAGCTTGGATCTAGAGCAGACTCGGGAGGGTGGTAGGAGTGAGATTGAAGGTGCCTCTCCAGGGATTGCAGAGCCACAGTCCAAATGGGCCCAGCCCAATGTGGCTGCCCCTTCCAGCAGATGTTTGTGCCAAGTAGGCACTGGCTGTCCAGCGCTGTGACCCCAGCATCTGAAGCCAAGGGCTCCCAAGCTGGATGCAGTTATGCCCTGCCTGAGTCAGCCGTCAGGCTTGATGACTTCTGGAGCAGTGGCTATTTTCACTTGTACCTAGGCCAGACTACAAATCCCACATCCTGTTTAGAGCTCTGGGCGCTGGTAACACAACTTCCTTCAAGTCAGAACAACAGTTAGCTGTGGGTTTGAAGCAGCCCATCAGAGGCACAGCCAGGGTTGCACCTATGTGCTGCAGTGCCCCGGATGCACCTGGCAAGCTAGTTCTGCATTGCCTCCACCGCCATTGCACGGCAGCTGGGCTGAGCCCTGCACAAGTTCTGTCCTGCATTGCTCATGCGCTCTCTCCCCACAGGCAGTCCATGTCCTCACTCAGTGGCCCTCTGCAAGTGGTGCCTGACATTGATGACCAGGTGGCCAACCCAGAGAACCCCCAGGAGGTAAGGATGCCATGGCAGGGGGAGGAAGGGAGTGGGAGTGTCGTCCCACATCCTCACAAGTGAGTGGGGAGCTGTTGAGAGCAGGCCTATGCCCAGCAGCTCTTCCAAAGGCCCATGCAAATCTGCCTCAGGGCTAGCGCCTTCCTCTTGTACTGCTGCTGCTCCACTGCAGCTCCTGCCTTCTCCTGTCTCTCCACTGAGCCCACAGCATCTGTGCTAACAAGGGCTGCGGGAGGTATGAGCTGGGCAGCTGCTGAGAACCACACTTGCAGGTGCAACAGCAGCG